AGCAGTATTCCAAGTGACCGACCACAAGGGCAGAGCAGCTCGGAGGTCAGCTTGATGAGCGATCAGTGTTGAGCAGATGTGAGACAGTGAGGATGGTCGAGTTCACTGTCATCACAGCCGTATTCTCACAGGAGCACATTTGTGCACTTGAACTAGAAATAATCTCTCATGAGTTTAGTAGATTCTGTCTGCTCATAGCACGTGCATAGTTTTCATGTGAGCAGATTTTGAGACTGACAAAACACCATTGGCCACCACCATTAAGAACAGTCAAAAGAAACATCTGTGGTGGAAATTTATCTCAAGATGCGAAATAAAGAGTTTCTCAGACCGGTTTGTCTTTGGGTCATTTAATAGAAAGCTCTGCAGAGGGTTGCACACTCAGCTTGAATGCTCAAAGTGGAACAACCCCGAATAGGGAAAGAAGTAGGTTTTTATACAGTCAGGTAAACAGGAAACATAAGAGACAACTGTTTCTGAGTAATAGCATGAAAGCTGAAGCCACCTGTCGTCTAGTTGAAACCGGAAGCTGTCTGCTTTTGCTTCTGTATGAAAGAAGAAGTTTGCTCCTGCACAGATCAGGGTCAACAAGATCTTCATCATCAAGAAAGGACATAAACTCTGAGGTTACATCTGCCAAGTGCATAGCAACACTCAGGGCATTTGTGAGTTAAAGGTAAAAAAGTAAAAGGTGTCTTTCTAGTTTCAAATCGTCCGTCTGCACGTAAGCCAGGCAGTTCCTCTGCTGTGACCACAATTGTGTTTCTATATGAGTTATTGTTGAACACAGCACACAAGCATTGATCAGACGTAGGAAAGAGTTCAAACAAAGTTCATAAGCAAGTTTTTCATTACACATCATATATGACATCATATATAATTACTACATCTGAAACTGATGATGTGGTGGTAAAAGGGTTTCGTTTCAGAATAGACTAAAAAATGAACAAGGTTCTCAAGATTGTCCCTCACAACCAGTTACTGGTGGTGGTGCTGGGTGCATACCTTGTCATTAAAGGTTGTAAATGTCATGACTCTAGTACTTGCATACCCTGCTGTAATATAATGACGTATATACATCCTTAACATCCTCTACATATGCAGTAGCTAAGAAATGTCCAAGACAGTTTGAAACACTGGGAGGTTCAACTCATTGATGTAGATTTATTTTTTTATGTTGTGATGAATTTTATATTAAAAGTAACAATGTATTTCACCAAAGAACAGTTATGTAATTTAGCTCAAAAAACAAATTTCAGTGAAAAATGTGTCATACGAGTGAACATTGCCAGATTATTTTAATTATTTAATTACTTAATTTCATCATATGACTGACACAGACACAGAAGGACTGAACCGTGACAGGTACTGATCTCCATCATGGCAACATCATTCACAGAATTCCCGGCAGTTGCTTTACACTGAGTGGACATGCAGAGGTTATATTTTGAAAAGTTTTGAACTTGGGTCTGAAGATTGAGATGAATGCTTAACAGACCTCTGAAAAATATTTTGTACAACAGTTTGAAGAGCCAATGGTCTTTAAAAGTCATTACTCCTGAGGGGATTCAAATACCTGCCCCAGTGATGAATCCACTTCCTAAAGTCTTTGAGAATTTACTATGGTGGCTATCAAACAATATACAGTATATAGTGGCTATATCTGTCTTGATGCATTACCACCTCCTATGGAGGAATAATTTGAAACCATTGGCAGCTGTGTCACCTGTGCGCACTTAGCTCCATTACAACAACAATATAGTTTCCAGTTAAACCCCAGACCTTCAAATAAAAAATACTTTATCTCAACATGTGTCTCCTTCAAAAACTGCAGCTGATGTGAGCCGGTCATAGCTGGTGATGATTCTGTGGCAACCCAGACTCCAGAGGAGAGCTTAGTAATATATTTCCTCACACCAAACCACCTAAGTCTGTCATAGTCCCAAACGACATTGTTAACCTATGGGGGTAATGGTGCAAAGATGCTGTTCCGTCTCTATGGATGCAGTGTATGTGTGTGGTTACAGAGTAAATGAGGGTAGGAAATTAAAGGGTCTACTTATGTAGCGTTGAGCCTATTATTTCCTTCAAACCAGTGGCACAATATGCTATGCACTGTGGATGACATGGTCCCCACTGCGCATAATGACACATCCCCTACTTAGCTGGCGGAGCTCGTTATCCCTGAGAACACAAGCTAATCTGTTTCACTTGAATAACAGCTAGAAAGCACTCGGCTATGCAGGACGAGAGCATTTCTCACAGATCCACGTGTGACTCATGACTGTGCTGAGACACTGGAGGGAACAATAATTCAGTTTTGAAGACATGTCATTGCACTTTTCAGTCCAAATAATCATCATGTCTTTGCGTGACGCAATTCTCTCGTTATATTGTCTTTGCAGAGACAAATACCTTGATAATACCAGTGTTTGACAGTTCAACAGCTAAAGTAAATAATTTGATTGGAACCTGTTTTGCGTAAATCTGTGAAGAGTTTAACTTTGTATGTTTACAATTGAAGGTCCATTAAAAATGAAGCTCTGTTGCTAGAAAGTGGCATGGCCATTGACCGGACCATCTAATTTCCTGGCTCACAGAGGCCGCCTCTTCCATGTGCTGCACAGAACGCATCTTTCAGAAGAGACTACCCCTGAAATGGGACACAGCTTGTGGCATACACCTCTGGTATGTTCACCACTAACAAACCATGCTAACATTGTTGATCTTGGAAAAGAGAAAGCTATCATAGTTTAGCAGTGTTGCACAATCCACTCAACAGTGTCTGCTGGATTATAAACTGAGCTCCTAAAGAAACATGTCTGCAGACCATTATAAGGCAAAGGTAGATGGTATTGAACGTACCTGTATATAATCGTAAATAATCTGCCCCTCTTATTATCTTAATGAAGATTATGTTTCAACCTCAGGCACAGCTCACTGAAATTCTTTTCAACCATATTGCAACAATAAAAATGTTCAATTGAAACATAAACATGTTATTTGTTCTTGACATTTATGATACGCAGGCTGTTTCAAAGAGCAGGGTTTGCCTGAGGGTTAGAATACTATAATAGCCAAATGCTTCCTTTTGAAAAACTGTATCCATCTGCAAAGATGCACAACTTGGCAACACAGAATCCAACACATTTTTCAGCACCCAGTAGCCTACAGCATGTATGTGAACCACAGGAATTGCTCACTGGTCCATAATAAAGAAGCTGCTTGGCAGCTGATTGGTGTGAAGATTGTGGAAATGTGTCACAGTATCTGCTTTTGCAGCTGAGGACGGAGTTAACACTTGATCAAAAATTATTTCAAAGCTTTGTGTCAAACCAGCATTTGAAGACGTGTTTTGTCACTTCACTTTTCAGTCTAAGGCTTTCAGCCAAGCTGCCACCATTAATGTTCTGAGTAAAAACTGCAGCTCTAAATGACCCTTTTACAGGCTCACTGATAATTATTCCATTGTATAAGCTGACACAGACACATCTGCTCCACACTCGTACTCCAGATATCTCTGTTTTCAAAGATCTGGGAATGTTTTTGTTCTGTAATTTTTTCAGTTCACCTTGTTGAGGGATGTCTGACCATTCTCACACATAAAATCTGTACATCATTAGGAGAATAGTGTCTGTTTTAATTCCACACATACTCCCTGCAGTACCCAAGGTCACAGATAAAGGGCCAACCAACAGTACATTGTAGTGTCTACGCTCATGGACTTTCATATCTTATTCAGATGCCCCAGAGAGAGAGACACCAGACTCATACTCATTTAGGTATTACACCAGTGGCAAGACATAAGGATACAACATGATTTAGCCTTTCATGGATGTGCTATTGCAATGGGTGACGCAAGTAGAGGAAGATATATTGGGATGCTGTGGGAGACATCTTCAGACTTGGGGGTGACAATTGCTCAGGTTAATCTGTTAGTGTTAGTATATAGTTGCACCTTCTGGTCTCCTTGATGCATCAAGTCTACATTCAAATCTTCTGCATAAGACATCAGCTGCTGCCTGAGTTCTCCTTTCACCAGCTTCCAGAAAATCATCCATAACACACATCCTGATTTCCGTCCTAAAAACTTGCAGTCAGAACAATTTCCGATATGAAACCTTAACATCTCTTACCAACACATCCCACATTACAAAGAAGCACTGCTGCCAGTGTGTATAGTATTGCCTTATTATTATTCATATTGCAAATAGACTAGCCATTTAAATTCAGTCCAGGTGTCAGGAAAATATGCCTTGATTGCTGTTGTTGCCAAAACAACATAAGCGTATTCTTCTATTCCTTTTTCTCTTCTAATGACTTCTTGCTGCTCAGTAATTAGCCGTTTATCATCACATCTCACTCTTGGACAGAAAAGAAATAATCATATTTCCAAAAGTACATATTACATTAAATTTATACATACAACTTAATCCTACCAAATGAAACAAGCATTCCTCTTTTGTCAAAAAGGCTTTCTATATAGAAATCCAATGTATACAAGGAATAAACAAGACTGGATCAACCAAAACACACACAGAGCACAAAACTGTAAGAACCTGCGTTACCTTGCTTGCTCCAGGGACTCCAGGGTTGTTTGAGAGAGCTCTTGGGTTAAATGAGGTCAATTAAATTCAAACGGAAAGCTGCTGCCTTTTTTTACAAGGTCGGACCATTCAAAACATCGGGGAGGGCAGTGAACCTCCTGAGGGGGCTGCTGGACAAAAGACTGCAGAATCCTCCCAGGGAAGGACTAACTAGTTCTGGATTCAATAAAGCGGAACTGATTTTCTTTGTTTTTTAAAAGTTAAGTTTGAGAAAAAAGACTTTTTAAATTCTCCAAAATGAAAAGAAGCCACAACCCTTGAGAAAAGACACGTTTTAACACCATGTAAAAAACCTCATGTTAATGTTTATCGAAAGATTAGTGTCTGTTTTACATGTTTTAAACATTTTGTACGACATTCATCTTTACAAAAAACATTTCAATATAGTTGTACCTGTTGTTGATTGATCAGCACATCTATCTCAGGGGCATGGCCTCCTGTAGCCATGGGGCCTGGCGTGCAGCTCGTAGGTAAAGAGTAGGTCTCAGGCAAGGGCAGGGGACTGGCAGGCTAAGTCTTAGAGTGTAGCTAGCGAGTCCGGATTAAATGTAAGAGAAGAAACTAAGTATGGTGTTGGTGTTGGGGAGGTGATGTAACTGGACAAAAAGTCCTATTGGGTGGAGGATGACAGGGGTGGCAGGGGGTCAGGTGTAGGAGTCGGGAGGGGCTAGTGAGGTTGGGAGAGGGGACTAATCATAAGAGGGAAGAATGGGGAAGGTGCTAAGCAGCAGGAACTTGGGGGGGGAAATGGAGATCAGCCCTTCTCTTTCACGGCTGGGGATCCAGGAAGCCTTTGGGGTGGCATAACCTGCAGAATGGACAGGAGGCACTAAATTACTAGAATGAATACAAACATGCAATATATTGACAGTAACCAAGCACAATGTACTTCAAACCCGATAAATGATCTTTTTATTCTGTTGGGGATTAGTTCAATACATATGAAGGCATGGCTTATGTTCCAGTTCTCAAATGTGATGAATATTGGAAAAAATAAACTGAATCATTGAATTAGTTTGAAATATAATCCACATGATTCAACTAGATGATGCAATTAATCAAATAAATTATACAGTGTTGTCCCATAGGGAAATTAGTCATAGGCCAAAGAACTACAGCAGCTGCAGGAGAGTACATTTTATAACAAGCAACAACAAAAAAAAGTATAGGACATATCAAGTAAGACCCAGAATAATAATGCAGGAAAAAGTGAGTTGAATATTGCACCTGCCCTAAAAACACAAAATGATCAAATCAAGCAGCTAACTCTGATACATACATACATGTACGTGACATTTCATATATGCTTCCACCCACAAGATGGTATTTGAGTATTCTTTATGAATAAATGTATGATCCACATGTCTGTGTGATGTTTTCATCAGTTGCTATGGTGATAGAGCAGGGTGACATGCAACACTCAAAGTCGGGATGATGTGGTTGCACCCATTTCACTACTGCTGTGTTTATTATTTCATGCTGTGGATTTCTTCTTCTATATACTACATACTAACATGCTTGAAAACATATATCACATGACCACTCATGTACACGTCAGGGGACAGAATTGCGAGGCTGATGCCAGATGTTTTCTTCTGGAGGGGGGTCTTGTGATGAGGAGCCTGACTAATTAGCATAGGCTATGTCCTGACTAGAGACCCAATCGGCAAGTGGTTGTGAGTGTCATCATTTCCAAACATCTCCATTTCAGACTTACTGCACTTTCAAAGGAAATATATGGATATTTAGATATATGGATGTTGTGTAAAACTCCTTATTTAACATGCAAAACCTTGACTGTTTGAAAATTGTTGTTGAAAATCATAAATAAAGAAATCAGTTTCCTTTTCTATATGGTCGGGTTGTCATACAATGTCTGTGGTGATCATACAACAACTTCTACGACTTAAGCTAATACGATATAAGAGATTTTAGAGGTGCTGGTGTGCAGATTTTGACAGATTTTGAAAAGTACACATGCAAACAAACAAGAAAGAGCACCTTAGGACTGCTTCATTATCCTCATGATGCCAAAATAGATGCCGCTGATTATTCTGGTTTTATTGTGGAGGAAACAGGTGTAATTGTATCAATGAAAACACGCCAGGGATTGTTGGTCTGTAATTCTTCCGGGCAGTGGGAGAGGGCCGGGCAACAACAATCACCATTTACTTTATGATCTCCAGAGTTTCTGCTTCTTCTATCAATTATGGGTAAGTTCAAATTGACTAGTAGATAACAAAGAGTTATTCTGTTCAACTAGGTGCATGAAGAAGTTAAAAGTGTGGTGTTTTGCCAAGGTTTGTATGAGTCAGGTGGCAAAACAACAAGAAATGTATAAGACTGTATAAGACTGAGTAAGCACCAAAAGTGTAGTCTGGACATGAATCAGTCATGGAAACTGACGGGATTTAACTGATAAATCCCAAATGGCTCGCTCTGTTTGGAGCTGCTGTTTTCCCACTGTCACAAAAAAGAGGCTGGACATCTGTCTCAGTTTTATTCCGCTGACTCATTCGCTCCCTCTGAGACATTTGCAGCTGTCTCATCGTCGGCATGCTCCACAAAGCACTGCACAAATAAATGTGCCTGGTTGAGATGCAGCACCGTTAGGGGGTTACTGCTTGAGCACTTAGGACATTTATAGTGTACAAAATGTCGCTATCACAAGACAGCTAAAAAGATTGGGCTACAATGAGCTACTAGGTCCAATTGTAAGTTATGATCTTTACAGATGATGTGGTGCAAAGCATATAAACACAAAATTGTAGCCACTTTATTCAACTTTTGCTGTGCAACATTATTAATGTTTTAGCTTTAACTTTAACTTTGAAGCCATAGACAAAACAGAGGTGTCATTCATATATTATATCTGTCCATTAATGCATATCGTTTGCATTTAAAATGAATGTGGATAAGTGAATTGTTTAATTGTGCAGAATCATCGTAGTGCACAAGCTTAATTGGTGACACACATTACGAAGCAAATTAGGTTTGTATTAACAGCTCAATAAACAGCATTGAATTGTACATAACCCCGCATAGAGTGTCCCCCAGAGACTCACCTATTCTGAGTATCTTCCACTTCCTGTTACGTTTCTGTAGACGTGGCATTTAAACTAGAGGGAATAATGCTCTCCTCTCATGCCCCTGACTTCAGATGTGCCTGCAGCGCCCGGGTGTCATCCTGACTGCCCACCAGTGGAGTGCGTGATCACCTTGGCCAAAGCTGAGCAAGCTCATTGCCACCCTAACACCACTTAACTCACTGCTGCGGTAATATCAAATGTCCCAGCCCCCTCATACCAGCAGGTAATCAGAGAGCCCTTTAAATGTGTGAAGGGGATGCTGACATGCATAAGTGACGCACATTAATAATGTTATGGTGGGAGCAGCTAAGGATGTCGACACACACAGACCAAAAAACAGGAAGCACACTGAAACAACACTGTCTTGAGATGGAAAGTACAAATATTTGAACTGTATTGGACCTTTATTGGTATTTCCATTTGTCGGTGCATTATGTTTGATTCATCCATTATCTTCTTATTGTTTGACCCCTACAGAGGGGGCTGGAGCTAATCCCAGCTGACATTGAGTGAGAGGCAGGGAACATCCTGGACAGGTCACCAGTGTATCTCAGGGCTGACATACAGATACAAACAACCCTTCACACTCACATTCACACCTAATTAGATTTTCCAATCAACCTAACCTGCATGTCTTTGGACCGTGGGAGGAAGCTGGAGTAACTGGAGAAATATCACGCAGACATGGGTAGACCATGCAAATGCTATGTAATTTACACAATTTAAAATTAAATACAAATATTTTTTTGCTTGTTTCTATTAGTTTACCTGCAACAAACATTTATTTCCATTACTGATTATCTGCTCAGTTTTTTTCTCAACCAATAGATGCTCCATTTTTTTAACAAAGGCTTGGATCCAGGAATTACAAAATGTAGTAGGATCCTTCACGGACCATGTCCCATTCTTCCACCAAGTTTTGTGGAAAACTGGTAGGTAGTTTTTGCACAATCCAGCTGACAAACCAACCATCCAATAATAGACAGGGGTGAACCAACAATCAATGTTCTCAACTCTATTTAGTAGCAGTTTCACTATAATACCACTTCTGTCAAAGATGTAAATGATAGTTTTTTTTTCCTCAAGCCATTTGTGCAATCAAATCAATAAATCGATCACATCTAAATGCATATTTGCATTAACTTGCCCATCTCGGTGCAGCCTTACTACTTTTTGAGATAATTAAATATGAATTGGTCACATCGCATTTTAATCAAATATACCTTTTGAGAATTAAATGAAATGACACTAGGCAATTTAAATCAAAAGCTAAGCCTGAGGAGAGACAGACTCGGGATATTGAACTTTTAATTGGTGCACACAGACCAGGAGACTGCTCATTTACAACACCCTGTGTTTGCTGCACATCATTGAATCACAGTAACCACAGTGGGTCATATATGTACATTATGGCAGTGTGTTTGAACCTAACTTTTGCTTCTATACGACTGTAGGGATTCCTTCAGTTTAAGCAGAGGGATCTCAAACTGTCTTATAATAATGATTACAGGTAATATCACTTAAATTATTCAGTTGGTTGGCAGCTTTATTTACATTCTTAGTTTTGGATTTATGTTTATTTAATGCATCTACAACACATCAGGTTTGTGTTAATGTCAATATGCAAAGCTTAGTCCATTCTGAGATTCATTGGAAATGAAATTTTATTCATCTTTGACAAAGTTATTTCACAACTGGAGTTGAGCTGGTTGTCTGTCTGTAGACAGAACAGGGGCTGATGAGCACTAAAGCATGTGTGTAATAGGATGTTCTAATTAAAAAGCTGCTATGGATAAAAATATATATAATTAGTGGTGAGGTGACTAAAACTTTTTTTAGTATTATCCATCAAAGTGGAGAATCATTACTTTGATCAGAAACTGAACAAGAATTAGTCTTGGCAGCAGTGCACAGACATCTTGCAGAGTTTCACAGTACATACTGACTAGCATTGACACAATTTCACTCACAGTGCAGAGGGAGAGTGTAAGATCTGCTGCAAATTAACCTGTTAAACCACCATTTTTGGTTTAGAGACCGTGGCTCCATCCCCTAAGCATGAACCACTCTGGCTCCAAATGTGCAAGAGGACAGCATTCGTAGCGGAATATTATGGCTTCATTACTGAGTAGTGGGAGGAGGTGGTAATCATCCACCTTTATATTGTATATTGTCAGAAAGCCAGTCAGATCAAACCCACAGTTCCCAACATCGGGCTGCATTATCATTCTGCTATAGAGGACAAAACCCTGGCTTGTTTGTATTTCTTAAAACAAATCAGTATCATCTTGAAAAGCACTAAGCCCAATCTGCAGGAGCAGTGCCCCTGCAAGATAGTCTTAAAGTGGTAAATTGGTTTGGGAGAACATCTGCAAGTGGCGAGGTGAGTTCTGTGATGAATATGGCTGATTCAAACATGTTCTTTGTAGATCTTTACAACCATTTACTAGAATGAACCAAACAGCCCTGTCTCCTCACAATAATAATCTAAATACACAGAAATAGCTGTTTTTAATGTGTCTTGCTAGCTTGGAGGTTGTTACTTCCGATAGCAAAGGGTTTTTTGATATTTTGTAACATGTAAATAGCGTAAGGGGAGGAGAATGCCGCATTAAATGCACGGCCAGTGGCAGGCTTATACTCTCAGAATACATCCAGTGAGTCAGAATAAGAAACTCCAGGCACAGCTGCCAGCTTTTTTTGATGTGTCACTATATTTAGAGAGAAGTGGGCAGCAAACAGTAGCTCGTAGTTCTACAAAGGCCTCAAACTTCCACACTGTGATGTTACTGGAGATAGAGCCCATCAATAAGCTTCAAAGAAAGAATATAATGTAGATTAAGAAATATCTGTTTACATCGATGAGTCAGTCATTCAGTCAGACACCAGAGGTGAGAAAATGAGATAAACGAGGATCTGATGAGACTCAAACCTAAAGTTTTATCTGTCAGCTAAAATATGTGGCAACTGGCAGTTGTTTTACCTTGGATTTGTGATATCAATCTCAGGTATTTTAAAAATATTTTAAAATATTCAACGTCAAACATCTTTCGATAAAACGTGTGCCCATTACTCTGAATAAACCACAGATACCTTTTTACAAATGAAGTAATGAAAACATTACCGAAACGAATTTGCTGAATGATGTACAGTGATGGGGAAACCTTTTCTGGTAAGCGACGTGTTTATTTAGCATTTATTTTCACTTATTTATCCAGTAACACGTTAACATTTAGGCATTAACGTTTCGCTGTCTTTTGGTATCAGGGTAGAGACGTGGCTGCATGTGTTTGCTCGATTTTTGTCTTATCTCAAAAGCCGTCTACATAAAGTGTTGTGTATTCTTACCTGCCTTCGGTTTTTGGTGAACCTTAAAGCTTAATTGGGAGGACGGCGATGTGTAGCTTACGTTAAGCTAGCTGTTGATAGCATAAGGTGTGGACCGGCAGCAAAAACCAAAAAGTCTTGTTTATTTCACTGCTAGGGATGCTGCAGTGTTCTGATTTTAGTAATAAACTTGTGACAACACCAGTTTTACTAATTACAGGAGACATTTTATGTGCTCAGTATCTCTGCCTCTAAAATGTTGACCCACATGTTGGTGAGCTGGTGGACCTTAAAACATCCATATTATATTTTACCATCCTTTAACTCGACTGCTGCTAATCGGAGCAGACATAAATTACAACATATTATATTATAAACTATAGAGTTTTTTTATTTATTTGAAGAATGTGAACACTACCACTGGTAAACAAAATAAAACCAAATACGTTTTATGTCTGTCAGCGGGCAAGTTAATCAATATTTGCATAAATACCATGGAACACCCATAATGCCACAACCCTTATTTCTACTTGTGTTAAATATGTGATTTGTGGCTGTGGATGCTTAAGAGTTGTTTAAAGGCAGTTAGAATGAGTACATGGAGTGCAGTAGAATTACTAGCACAACAATCTAAACCTGGGATGTGACCATTATAGCTGCTAAACTTTAGCATTGTGTGTATGTTAACGTGCTAATGTTGGCACTTAACTCAAAGAAAAGGCTAAAATAGATATGAACAATTTCAGTGCAGTGAGCCAAATAAGAAAAATCAATTAGCTTAAATTTGATTTGAGTAGAAGCAGAAATGTCAGAAATAGCATTTGCATAGTACTTTAAGGTTAGAGGACAAAATGATGCACTGTACATGGAATTAGTATGAACTGACACTATAACTATTTAATTAACAGTTTTTACCTTGAGCTATGGTGCAAAATAATACTGGAAATAGTGACGGGGTCAGATATATTACAAGGGGTCTTTACCTGGATTTCTACTCTCTGGGGTTCCTGCAGCCTCTGGTTCAGACATGAGTGGTGCAGTAATCGATACTCACACTCAATTCTGAAATTCCTTCTTTATAAAACATTGAGGCTGGAGCGTGTCTCGTTACCAGAACCATCTGGTTTCCTCCAGAACAAAAACAAGCCAGCTGCTCTCCTCAGTGGACGATGGCTGCTGAGTCATTACTATATGTGAGTGACCTTATATCCACCTCCCCCAGCCGCTGCATGTGTGCACTCTAAATCACCTGCAGAGCTCCTGGTGTCAGGACGATGCATGTGCACAGTCCAAAACACTGCAGAGCAACCACAACCACTGTCAACACACTGAAATGAGTAGGACACCGCCTCCGGAGCACTGATGCTCCACCTGCACACGATGAAGACGTCTCAGCCTCTCGGTGCACCTCTGCACGGACGCTCTCCTGCAGCATCTATTTACATGGATGCAAAAACTTCAGCTCACAACCCCGCACGGTCACATGTGCTCGGCTCAGCCACATGCATGTCTTTGTTGCATGTCAAGTGACCGTGCGCCGACTCAGCATCATGTGTCTTGATGGCACCGAGACGCGTGAGCGCTTCAACATGTATTAAACAGTGATAAGCAACGTGTTCGCGGACCTACCTGCGATTTCGTTGAGCAGCCCCGCGGTGGAAGAGGTAAAGTGAGAGCAGGAGACGCTGCGGTGAAGCTGATCCATGAAACCTAGAGAGGACGCGACACGCAGCCGCTGCATCCGCCAAGGATGCTCAGCGTGACCACGTGACTCTGGAGGACAACCTGCCCATGTGAAGTCACTGATGGATGGACATCAACAACAACATGTCCACTCAGGTGAAACAGAGGGAGCTGCAAACACCTCTACTGCTGAGTACACACACACACACACACACACACACACACACACAATCAGACTTGATCTGGGACAGTTTTGATGCAAACAATGCAACACAAAGCGTTTCACAGGAAAAAGGAAATAAAAACCATAATAAATACCCTTTACACCTTCCACCCACCCCCTCATCCACACACAGAGCAAAACAATAAAAACAGGAGCAGAGGAAACGCCACCACAAATGTCATGAATCCGTAAATAGGTAAACACCAAGCACGTAAACAAAGAAAGATAAAGGAATGAATGTGAAATAATAAAATACTAAAAGAGATGACAAAAAGTTAAAATAATGAAACACCTAAAGAGAGAATAAGATATAGATGATATAATAAAATGAATAAAACACTGAAATAAATGAGAATAAACATAAAGATACAATAGTAAAATACTAAGAGAGATTAGAGAAAGTTGATAAAATAAAATACTCAAATATGACAATGATAATGATAATATCCTAATAAAATCAAGAGGTTAGAAGTTAGAGAAACACTCAACTTTGTCAAAATTCATGTAACAGTCAAAGTGACAGCATCGTCCCCCATTTTAATGTTTGACTTGAACATTAACTACTGTATCTGGATTATTGTATGCACTGCTGACATATGATCAGCTGAATGAAGGACTTGAAGGAGTAAGCAGGTGTAGATGTTCCTAATAAAGTGCTCAGGGTGTGTAAACATAAAGTGGGAATAAAGTCATCCCATAAATAATTGAATTAAAGCCACTGTGGCCCCTTAAAGCCCCATGTTATATGACTGACTTGTAATTCTGTGTGATTATCAGCTACCGTATTTACTTACTGTGGCCACTGTGTCACCAGGTCTTTGTTCCATGTCATTCTGCTGCTCTGCATTCCCTTCTTTCTTATCACCTTTCAAATATTGACCTAAAAATAAAAGTCAACAGAACAAAATAAAATAAGACAGAACTAGAATGTTTACCTCTGCTAAGGCCCAACAGTAACCTTACCTTCAATCATGCTGCACCAAATTTCACACTCATAGAAATAAATTGCCGGATTATTTCCCTGAAGAACCATGAATTATTACTTGGATAAACAGTGAAAATGTTGAAAACACCCCATCTCACAATGTTAAAGAAAGTTGTAAACAATTCCTGGATTCGCAGGACTGCATCAAAGTTTATGGTTTAGTTGTTTTGTGTAATCTTACTCAAACAACCACACTAACAAACAGACCGGAGTGAAAACATAACCTCCTTGGCGGGGGTAATTACCACTTTGTAGATAAACTCCTCCGCCAAGCAATCTCCACTTCTGTTCCTGAGTTATGACATTTCTAATTTAGAATTACTCCTTGTCATTATTGAGACCTCCTCAAAGAGTTCTACATTATACTACATTATACCGTTGCTTTTCATTGTTTTTGTGCTGAGCTTTTTATAAACAGTCTATGGAGCCGAGTGAAGTCAGAAAACTTTGTGTTAATCCTTACTAGTTTACCTGCAATTCATATTTTATAAATATTTTCATAAGATGACACTTGATGTGTTCAGTTACTGTTAGAGTGTGTTGTATATTTAAGTTTGAATGATTTACTGAACTAATGTTGTTCACACACATTGGCTATATCAGACTCCATTGACACAACTCTTTAGATCCAAGTTCACAACTTTGCAAAATAAAAGCTCTGTGATTCACCTCGATATAAACATAAAAACATGTATTTCCCTCTATTGGCCTAAAAGCTGCACAGCACTTTTGTGAACCATCCTTTGTAGGGAGCTGAAACACACATACATTGATAATATAAAAATAAAGAAATCCAAGCCTACCCATAAATATGACAGATGTTCTTCAAAGTGTTTTTAAGTCACCACAGATGCAGCCTCATTCAAGTCGATCAAAAATGTTTATAGTGACATCTTTCTCATCTTATAGAGATGATGTAAAGTGACATCTTTCTCATCTTATGGAGGTGATGTACTGTTTCTTAAGTTCAAAAAAGGGAAAAACTGAATGTAGCATATGATATAACTTCAAACATTGTGTGCAAGTAAGAGAGGTACAGCTGAAGAAACTCATCTTTATTAACAGATCATCAACCATGTCTGGATGTCTGAAGAAAGTCTGGAGGTCCTCTTTAACTTTTCCAGATGCTGATTCAAACATGTAATGGGAGGAAACAGATGTAAAATCGACTGCACTCACTCTCTCAATCTCTGCTCGGATCATTAAGCTTTGGTGATGTTCTGAACATGAACATGTATGCATGCATTTGTCAAAATGCAATATGGGTCTTCTCCACTGGAGGATGCACTAACCTTAAAGATTAAAAAACGAGACATTTTGAGAGTTACTTGTACACAACTCATTGTATCTCACAAACAAAACTAAAAAGTTGATTAAAAGCTAAAGAAATCTATCGACCTATCTATGTTCAGTTCTGATCTTTGTCCCAGTCTTTCCTCCTTGTGAGTCCTGAGTAGTTTTACAAGTTTAAAGACTATAGTAACAGAGAGCTGTGCACAAAATAAACACAAATGTGTTAAAACGCATTTTAAATACATTTTGTGAGGCCGAGTTTGCAAAGATAAAATGAAAACATTGAAACGGGGGTAAGATGATTCATGCATTTGCCAATATGCACTATGGATTCTGTCCACTAGAGGGAGCCCTAACTTTAAAGATAAATAAAAACCATATAGGGCAACTTGTGTATGATGCACAGTATCTTTACATAATTACTAAAAAAGTTGATCAAATGATGCGATAGAATGTAAATCACATAAAAGTAAACAACATAGACTTTTCTATGGCAATAGGAAAGCTCCCTATTTCATAGAAAACACGTTTTAATGCATTTTTACATTTAATAAGTATCATTTATTCCATTATTCTCCTTGTGAATGGTTGAAGTGGTTGAAAGACGTTATCCTGAAGACAGGAAAAGAATCACTATGACAGGCGGCAGGAAACCATGTTAATGTTTGAAGATTAAAGATGTTTAAAACCTGCAACCCAGACGTTTCACAGCTGGAGGGTCGTCCAGATGGAACAGTTTCCCCTCTCATTGTTTAATAAAGAAAAAAAACAACTCTTGTTCTGTTGCCACGGAGACAGGGATCTGACTTACTACGCTCAGCATTTTAGAGGCAGAGAAGGAGAAGAGTTTAATGTGGAGATCAGCTGTTGCTTAAGAAATGGATCAGATTTTATTTGCAAAATGCTGAATGTGCATAGAAACAGGTCCGTCTCATATTTGAATGAAGTTACAGGGGACACAGCCGCTTGCTTTGAGCTTGTCTCCTGATGTGACCTCAGACAGACTTCACTGAGTGATATTACAGGATGTTTCATTTGGCTGCGTCACTACCTGATGCTTGGATCTCGCGGCCCTGGGGCAAAGCTGTTGGTCAAGTGATTACAGGTCTTGCAATGGGAAATAACACTTGAAGAACTAGTCATTTATTTCCCTCTGTTCAAACACTTTTCTCCTTTTGTGTTACAGTGACAACTCATTCTCCATGCTGTACCACAACACACTGCCATATCTTTTCCATTAGTTTGCTTAAAGCTGCATGAATCAGTGTTTGTATATTAAGATTCAAGTTGCTCACTTGTCATATGCACAGTAAAAATCAGGCGTCACACCGGGCAAAGGGATAAATCTTTACATATCAGTTACAAAAAGAAGAAATAATGAGGTAACTGAACAGCGTCTTTAGTGGATATTATCCAACATCTTGGGCTTCTCTGTTTCCTATGGAATTTTATTGAGGCTATTAATTTATTTTGTGTGCAGATTCCTTGTCTGATAATCAAGTCAGAGCCTGTCGCTCCATTTCCTTCTGTGCCAACTGCCAAACCACATCTTAATATGCCTTTGTAGCACATCTGGCATCAAGCTTAGAGCAGAACCAGGCAGATGGGTCCACAATCACCTGGACGCCAGGTCATTAGCACTGCTAGCATGGTACCTCTTTCTCCTAAAAGTAGTAGGTATGAAAATATTTACCTAGTTTTTAAATGTAACATAACTTGAAATACACCAGTTACATATTACTGTCAGGTTTTGATACTTGTGCAGGCGATATGGATTGAGGCCATCGTATTGTTAGTGACATTGCTCTCTTCTTAATGAAAACTTTTCCAGTCATTAAACTGTTTTTTAATAGGTTTAATTTGGGTATTGTTCTTTTTATTTAGGGTATTAACTCTAACAGGAGGAGACCATGAAGAGAATAAAGCACTGAATATTTCCTTTAGGAGCACATTGCCCAAACATTTAAATAAAGTGCAAATGGGGATTGGTCGAGTAATGCCAGTAGATGTCTGTGCTGGAAAATGGCGTTCAGTGAAGCCACAGCAGACATTTTGAAAGGAAGTTGGCAGGATTGGGAAGCTGCAACAGTGCAGATGAGGAAAAACATGCCCCTTGGGAGCCAGCTTGAACAGAGCTGAAACTTTTAAAGGAACAGTCCATGAGTTGAGATGTGCTCGAGAATCGGAGTCTAAAGTATGATGTTGAAAAAAGTGTCAGGAGTGTATTAAAAACAGACAAAAAAAATCCTTGTCAAAAGGAGACAACCCACACCAGCAGAGGACTGGCTCCCTGTGAGAGGTAAAGAAAGAAACACTGTGGTGAGCCCCACAACGAGAGGAGGAGAACAGTAGAAGAGACATTACACCACTTGCGACATCTGTGTTGCTTCAGCTCCCACAAAGATCCAAAGGGTTTGAAGTTTAACAGCACAACAACTGGGTCATGTTGAATTCAACGGGCTACCTAAAACGCAAATCTAAAACGATATGCGACCCAACATTTCTCTCAAGATTTTCCTGAGTCATAAAACAATAAGCAATCTTTATTCTTAGTTCCACACTTTTTTTTCTACAACAATAACTCCCTC